GTTCCCCTCTTGGGGCCGTCTTGGGCCTCTCTTCGCCCGTCTTGGGCGCGTCTTGGGCCGTCTTGGGGCCCTCCAGAACCATCTTGGGGCCCTCTTGGAAGCCTCTTGGGCTGTCTTGGGGCGTCTGCGGGGGGCCTGTGAGCCGTCGTGGAGCGTCGGAAAACTGAAAAGGCGGGAAAGGCAAAATGTGCCCCAAACCGTGGTAAAATCAACGATTTTGGCCTTTGGGGGCCCTCTGGGGGGCTTCTTTGGCCGTCTTGGGTTTATCTTGGTGGTTTCATGGGCCTCTTGGGCCCCTTTGGGCCCCGGGCCCTGCGGAGGCGGGAGGCTCGAATTTGCGGTTCGCGGTTCCCCTCTTGGACCCCTCTTGGGGCCGTCTTGGGCCTCTCTTCGCCCGTCTTGGGCGCGTCTGGGGCCGTCTTGGGGCCCTCCAGAGCCGTCTTGAGGCCCTCTTGAAGCCCCTTGGGCTGTCGTGGGGCGTCCGCGGGGGGCCTGTGAGCCGTCGTGGAGCGTCGGAAAACTGAAAAAGGCGGGAAAGGCAAAATGTGTCCAAAACCTTCGTCAAATGAACGATGTTGGCCTCTTGGGGCCCTCTGGGTCGGCCTGTTGGAGGCCTCTTGGAGCGTTTTGGGTGCCTCTTTGGCCGTCTTGGGCTTATCTTGGGCATCTTGGGGCCCTCTCGGCGCCCTCTTGGGGCTCTTGGGGCCTGCTGGGCCTGTCGTGGAGCAGCGCTCTTGGGGCTCTCTTAGGCCGCCTGGGCTGCTCCAGGGAGGCTCCAGGCCCCCCCCGTCCCGCCATGGGGGGTCGAGGCAGCTGTTTGTGGGCCCTGGGCCTGCCCCCCAGGTATATATATATATATATATATATATATACACACACATACATATATATATATATATATATATATGTATGTATATAGAGATCAGCTCTACCCCTTCTTTTAACAAGGGTTTTTATCCAACCTGCCCCTTTGCAGTGGTGAGCGATATCCCTGCCTGGGGCAAGGTCCATATCTTCTGTTATCCTGTCATAACCATCTATTTCTGCGTCAGCATCGCGGGTACATTCCGCATCAAAAGTGTAGGCCGAATCGGAATAGTACGAGTCAGACTCTGGGTCGGGCCCGGAAGGAGCGGCCTCAGCGGGATCCACTGCCTTGGCAAGGACCACGCGACCAGCCCATTCATCACCTCCTGGACGGGCAGCACCTTTCATGTGAAGAAGAAGTGGGCTGCCCCGCAAGATTTTCTCGATTGTATACTTAAGAAGTTGATTCGGAGCGAGGTGCTGCCATATCTAATCGATTCGATTGATATCTCTCAGCAATCGGCTGGTAGTCAGCTTCGACCAATCATTCTGCAGTTGAACGATTGGTCGGATCCACGCTGCAACCCAGACCATCACCATGGGAACAGACCCATGGGGTTCTTCCGAAGTTAGGGCTCATTGATGGACGCCTTATCGAACATCTAGGTCTGTGGTCGGCAAATTATTCGCAAGAACAGACGAAGCCCCTGTGTTCTTTCCGGTCGTTGATGACGGCCCTCCTACGGCCCCCGTCTGCCGGTTCTCTGGTGTCTTAGTGCCGTTGCCTCCGCTGGCGCGGACGATCTTGCATTCGTCATTCCGCTCAACATTTTGATGTGAATGCCAATGGCGAATGTCATGCTCGACCCAGCCTTGGTCGAGCCAATATCGCATCGTGTTGGGAGGTATGCGCTGGCGAGCTAGCCCATGATCGTCACAACTGACAAGGCGTTGCGCGCCTCCTGCTTCGGGCGCGGCTGGACGGCCCTCGCTCTGCGGCGGATTTCCCCGCGAGCGCCCCCTCCTCGGCGGGGCCCTTGGGGCCCTCGCGCCAGGGGGGCGAGGGCGCTGGGCGCCGCTGGAGCGCGCGCGCGCGAGCGCCCGCGCGAGCGGCTGCGGACGCGACCGCGACGCTGCATGCGCCGGTCCTCAGCTGCCCACTCGTCTTCGTCATCATATTCTGGGCGACTCGCACTCCCCCAGACTTGACGACTAGCTGATCCCTCATGGCGGCTCGGAGACCGCCCATGAGCCACGGACGTGAAATGATGATCTTCATTATGCCCAAGTTCGCACTGGATGCGCTCTGAAAGGTCGCCAGCACCTCGCGGGTTGCCCCGCAAAAGATCATCGCCATATGGTTATATGTTTGTCGGGTTGCCAATGACCTGAGGATGACGCATCATATGTATTTCCTCTTCTGTCGCTGGAATTGTGGCTTCAGGATCCACAGGTACCCCCGCACCACCCTGGTCTACGTCGGCGGGCATATGGGAATCCTCGACAAATTCGATCTGTGCATGTTGCCCCGCGATGGGTGCGCCTAGCCAGTCTGCCAGGTTTATCTCGTCGTGGCCAACGAATATCTCCTCGCAGAGCTCATCGGCGCATCTCTCGAGGGACATGCTGGCACTTACATATCTGGCAGCCGTGAAATTAGCAACAGCGGTGGGATGTTCGGCAAGGTCGGCAAACGACGTCTCCCAATCGACATACTGCATGTCCGAACCGGTTTGAGCCAAATGCACAGACGGACCCCTTCCTCTCCCAGCGCCCTGGGGGCATTCACGGTGGATATGTTGCGTGCTATGGCAGATGTCGCATTCCATGGTTTTACCGTCCGCACCCTTCGGGTTGCCCCGGCGCCCCCTGCCCTTCCCCGAGGCGCGCCTGCGGCCCCCGCCTGCGCCCAGGAATAATTATTCATGCGGTGGTCCAGTAAGAGACGCAAGGAACGCTAGCATACCTCTGCCATGCAATCGCCGTCGTTTGCCCTTACCCTTGCCTCGACTCTTACCTTTTCCACTCAGTGCCCGTCGGATGGTGCGTCGTACCTTGCGAAATGGCTTCTTCCTAAGCCGTCTCCATCTGCGTTGATGTTTCTGATATCCTAGGAACAGCCATTGCGCCTGTTGTTCTTCCGTAAGATACGCGGGCATGTCGGAATAGTCTAGGGCAGTCGTTTCGTCGTATGAGGACGTGTCGGCGTCGGCTCCAGAATCGAGGTCTGACTCAGCGGGCTGCCCAGCTGAGCCTACAAGGGTAATGGCTTGCGTGGGGGCCGCCGTTGCCGACGGCCCCTGATATCTGGCCCAGGAGTCTCGTGACCCTGTAGCCGGACCACCACTTTGGGCTAATCGAGTGGTGGTCTCCGTTGGTTGCGGATCGCCATTCAAAGCGTTTGTTGCAGGTTGCCCTGCATTAGCTTCAGCATGAAAGATTTCGGCACGGTAACCTTGGCCAAAAATACCGCCAATATTGCCAGTCGTTCGCTCAGCAATGTGAACATATGACCTCATGCGTTCAAGTAGACACTCAAATTGTTGTTGATTCCTCGACATGTGGTGGTTAAGTGGCTGTAGGAGTTGTCGTGCACGCGAGGTCCCCACTCCTGAGGCTCTGAACAGAATGACTGTTAGGATTTGGCAGTTGGAGATGTTAAAGCCTGTCGTTTCAGTCTCGTAGCGGGCTATCTCGAAGCGCGCCAGTGTCTGGTCGATCCGTTCTCCCGCATGGACCCGAAAGTCGATGAGAGCCGTTCCTGAATTAAGTTGGCGTTCCTCCTCTAGGTTCTCAAGTTTCGCGCTGAGGAGAAACATGATGTAGGTGATGCCATCGGTATGACGGCTTTCAATGTTAACGCCAAAACTGATGACTGCGGGGGGAAATATCATGGCTATGGTCCGCGCGAGACTTCCCAAGCCACGCTGCAATGCTGAAGCTTGCTGGGACTGCGTCATATTGCCTGTGGTCACATTGATCCAGGCATGTACCTCTCGAGCGAATTCGCGGAAAAAGGTACTTGACCGACCGGGTCTCGGTGGGGGCTGGTTGTGTTTGCGTCGTCTCCGCCACGCATGTGTCCCACAGCACGCCCGATAGCGACCCACATAAGACCGAACATAATAATACCAATTTAATGGCCCCGTTGGTCGTGGTCGGATGTTTGTGGCTGGGGTTTGTGGCGTTTTGTTGTAAGCTGCGGGGGGGTGGAGGCGGCACAATATCGTATCGCATGTTGCCATGCATGGTATCTCCGGAAAAAAATCAAAGTGGAGTAGGTGGGTGGACTTCAGGAGTGTAGTAGCGCAGGGATGTAGGACTCGAGTAGAGACCTCCGCGAGAGCAGAGGTAACACTGCAGGTGTCCTTGCGGTTGCGCGTGGTTATGTACATTCCTCCGCGCAGACCCACTGCACCCTGATGTTCCACCATGTCAGTAGTCCACCAGATAATGCCGTGGATTGTGAGGAATAAAGCGAAAACTGACCACCATAGGCCAGCCCCGCTACCAAGTTTGAAGGGGGCCGGGAGGCCCGACCAGAAGCTTCGCATTAGGCGAAGCGCAGCTCCAGCTCTCTTGTACCGTAGTAGCGATAGTCATAGTCCCAGTCGGAGGTCGTCGCGGGAGCGACGGGCCATCTCAAGCGAAGGATGTTTTCGGTCTCGATGGCAAGTAGTATGCCTCGCAACGAGGCGCAGTCACATGTTGGCGGCCGGCCGCTTGAGCCCAAGCGGCCACGGACAAACGCTCGCTATCTCAAACCCCAGTCCCAGCTCACTGTAAAGTCTGTCATGCAGCGGACGGTCGTACTCACAGAAACTCCGCATCATTCCTCCTTGCTTTTCAAAGGTAACGGCTGCCCCTTATTGTTCCACAGCAGGCTGCTACGCTTCTCCGATCAGGGGAACTCGCCACCGAAAAGAGGGAATCAGAAATGAAGGCCCTCGATCCTCGAAGCAGGAGGGCGGTCGAGGTACACGAAAATCTTGCACCCCAAAATGCATACCAAAAGGATCGAACATCTCCGTTCTGGAGGCCGAACCTCCATTTCGGAGGAAACAACCATCCAGAATGAAGGAGCAAACAACGCCAGAATGGATGTTAAACTTCGCATTTGTGAGTAATGTTGGCCCTGTGGGTACTTTCAGCGCCCGACCTGCACAGACTATGCGGCCAACCCCCTATGCGGCCTGCGTACACCTGACCGAAGACAGGGTTGAGGCGCTCCATCGCAAGCAACGCGTGCGGGAAGGCGAACGCCAACGCGATGACGATGAGGCAGACCTGACAAATGGGCGTGCCCGTGACGCCAGGCTTTGCGCCCCGATTGCAACCCTCGAGGCACACGGCCCTCCCCCAGAGGGCGCTGCGAGGAGTTGGAGCACGCCAGAGGGCAGAGGTCAGACGCCAGTTGGAGCACGCCAGAGAGCAGAGGAGAAAGACATAGAGGGAGAAAGAGAGAGACTCCGGTGGTGCGTTCTGAGCGGACTTCGGATCCAGACACAACAGCAACCCTCCCCCGCGAGACCGCTCCTGCGCCGAATGCAACCTGCAGACATGGTGACAGCTTGTTAACTTCCAAACCGATGGGAAGCGGACTCCACGACGCCGCAGCAGACGAAAGGAGAACGTCTAGAGACTCGGCTGCGAGCGAACATATGAGCACCTCAACGCCGATAATCATCGATCACCGTAAACGCTCTGAGCACCGTAATGCCTGTGCTCACCGTAATGATGCGATGCGATGCGATGCGACCCGCATTCCAGCCCCATGGGCGGTCCTCCAAGAGGGCAGGCAAATGGGACACGCAGTCCTGGCAACCCAATGCAACAGCAGATGCTTCATACAACCGTGGAAAAGAGAAGGTATCACGAAAAGAACTGCGTCCAGACAGGCATGAAGAAGGCACAGGAGGAGGATGAGGAGGAGGCGAGATGGTCGTGAGAACCAATGAGCCCGCGAGCATCGATGCGCCCGTGGGCACCACAGAGCTGGTAATCACCACCTCGCACCAGGGCCCGTTTGCAGCATCGGTCAAAGCCTGGAAGCACCACAGGACTCAGAACACCTCAACACCTATGATTACCTGCGCGCTTGTGAACATCACCGTGCCTGCGACTACCGACCAGGCAGGGGAGGGAAGGGAAAAGGGAGTTGGAAGCGAACGGGACGGCGAGGGGATAGGGAGGGAGGGGTTTGGAGTGGGACGGTGAGAGGGAGGGGGAGGGACACGGAGAAGTAAGTGAGTGGTGCAGGGGGAGGCAGAAGAGGGGGAGGACAGAGAGGGGCGGAAACGGAAGTGGGATCGGCGGTGGACAGGGCCGAAAGTGAGGACGAGCACCAACAGTTGGGAAGGTCGCCATAAGATAAGAGGAACACCAGACGTGAGGAAGAGCGCGAAGAGTATGAGGCGAGGCGAACGATGGCGAACCTGAAGAATAGCGCCGAAAATTCGCCGGCCCAACGGGCCAGAGGCGTGCTAAGGTCTCCGGTAACTGGTTAACAAAAATTCTAGTTCGCGCGCGCGGGGCGGCCCCTGGGGGTCCCCCGGCGAAAAGTACCCCGACCGAAGCCCGGGAACTATTACTCAGAGATGGTTTTCCTCCTGGGCGCGGCCTTCCACGCCCCCCGGAGCGCGCCAAGAGGGCCAAAAGAGGCCCCCAAGACGGTCCAAGAGGGCTCCGCATCACCGAACGATCGGCCCAAGACGCCCAACACGGCGTCAAGACGGCCCAAGAGGCCCCCAAGACGTCCCAAGAGAGCCCCGACCCTTCCCAAGAGAGCCGCAAGAGGCAAACATCAATTATTTTCCTTTGGTTTTTGAAGGTTTTTGGTTTCCTCGCCTTTTCGCCTTTCCGACGCTCCAAGACGACCCAAGAGGCCCCCAAAACCACCCCAAAGACGGCCCAAGAGGCCCCCAAGAGAGCCCCAAGACCGCCCAAGAGGGCCCCAAGACAGCCTAAAAGGCGCCCAAGAGGGCCCCAAGAGGGCGCCAAGAGGGCGCCAAAAGGGGCCCAAGATGGAGACCACGAACCGAAAATCCGAGCCTTCCGCTCCAAGAGGCCTCCAGGACGCCCTAAGAGGCCCCCAAGAGGCCCCAAGAGGCGCCAAGAGGCTCGAAAGAGACCCCAAAACGCTCCAAAACGGAGCCCCAAGAGGCAAAACTCAGTGATTTCCATAAGGTTTCTGAAGGTTTTTGGCTTCCTCGCCTTTTCGCGTTTCCGACACTCCAAGACGGCCCAAGAGACCCCCAAAAAGTCCCCCAAACCACCCCAAGACGACCCAAGAGGCACCCAAGAAAGCCCCAAGACCGCTCAAGAAAGCTTCAAGACAGCCCAAAAGGCGCCCAATACGAACCCAAGATGGAGACCACGAGCCGGAAATCCGAGCCTTCCGCCCCAAGAAGCCTCCAGGACGCCCCAAGAGGCCCCCAAGAGGCCCCAAGAGGCGCCAAGAGGCCCGAAAGAGACCCCAAAACGCTTCAAAACTGAGCCCCAAGAGGCTCCAAAACGGCCCAAGAGGCCCCCAAAAACGCCCCAAGACGGCCCAAGAGGCCTCCAATAAGGCCCCAAGACGGCCCAAAAAGGCCCCGAGACGGCCCAAGAGGCACCAAGACGGCCCAAGAGAGCCCCAAGACGGCCCCAAGAGGGGCCCAAGAGAGGGACCACGAACCGAACAGTTTAGCTCTCTGCCCCAAGAGGGCCCCAGGACGCCCCGAAAGGCCCCCAAGAGGCCCATGATGCCGCCAAGAGGCTCTCAGGAGGCCCCAGAAAGCTCCCAGGCGCCTCCGAACGGCCTCTCAAACGATCCCAAAAGGCCTCCCAAACGGCGCCTCCTCCTTCTCGCCTCCTCCACCTCGCACCCTAAAAGCTCCGCAGTCCCCGCCCAATGCCTCCGCAAGCTGCTTCGCGGGGGCAGCTTCAATGCCACCATCCCGAACGCAACGCCTCAGAAAAAAAAAAAAAAAAAAAAAAAAAAAAAAAAAAACGGCAAAGCAACCTAACAGCGATGTGTAGAAACATATCTGAAAGCATTCCCCTTAAGACTCAGATGAAAATCCAGTTGTCGAATTCTGCTGTTCTCGCAGTCGTAGTCGCATTCGCGATGACAGTCGCAGCGGCAACGGCAGTCGCAGTCACAGCCTCAGCCTCAGCCTGCCTCCTCCTCCTCCTCCTCCTCTTTCTCCTGCTCCTCCTCCTCCTCCTCTTCCTCCTGCTCGTCCTGGTTCTCGTCCTCCTCGTCTTGCTCGTCCTCCTCCTCCTGGTGCTCTCTCCTCCTCCTCCTCCTCCTCCTCCTCCTCCTCCTCCTCCTCCTCCTGGTGGTCCTCGTTCTCCTCCTCCTGGTGCTCTCCCCCCCCCTCCTCCTCCTCGTCGTCCTCCTCCATATCTGAAAGCATTCCCCTTAAGACTCAGATGAAAATCCAGTTGTCGAATTCTGCTGTTCTCGCAGTCGTAGTCGCATTCGCGATGACAGCCGCAGCGGCAACGGCAGTCGCAGTCACAGCCTCAGCCTCAGCCTGCCTCCTCCTCCTCCTCCTCCTCTTTCTCCTGCTCCTCCTCCTCCTCCTCTTCCTCCTGCTCGTCCTGGTTCTCGTCCTCCTCGTCTTGCTCGTCCTCCTCCTCCTGGTGCTCTCTCCTCCTCCTCCTCCTCCTCCTCCTCCTCCTCCTCCTCCTCCTCCTCCTGGTGGTCCTCGTTCTCCTCCTCCTGGTGCTCTCCCCCCCCCTCCTCCTCCTCGTCCTCCTCCTCCTCCTCGTCCTCCTCCTCCTCTTCCTCCTCCTCCTCCTCCTCCTTTTTTGTCCTTCTCCTCCCTCCTCCTCAGCCTCCTCCTTCTCTTCCTCGTCGTCCTCGTCCTCCTCCTCGTCGTGCTCTTGCCCCTGCTGAAAATGTGGCCCAGGAATGGGAGTTCTGGGAAGTCGAAGAGCACGAAGTTGCCTACAGTTGGCTACGGGCATTCAAAATGTGGCCCGGGAATGGAGTTCTGGGAACTCGAAGAGCACGAAGTGGCCTACAGTTGGCTCCTGCATTCAAAATGTGGCCCGGGAATAATAAGTTCTGGGGACTCGAAGACCAAGAAGTGGCCTACAAAAACAAAAAAAAGCACAAAAAAAACAAAACAAAGAAAAAAAAAGAAAAAAAAAAAAAAAACAAAAAAGAAAAAAAAAAAAAAAAAAAAAAAAAAAGAAACACAGAAAAAAAAACAAAACAACCAAAAATAACAAAACAACAAAACATAAAAAAAAATACAAAAAAAAAAAACAAAAAAAAAAAAAAACAAACAAAAAAAAAGAAAAATAAAACAAAAAAAACCAAAGCAAAAAAACACAACAAAAAAAAAAAAAGAAAAAAAAAAAAAAACTACAAAAAAAAACAAACACAAACAAAAAGCAAAAAAAAGTTTTTGCATCCGTGCAATCAAAATGTAATGGGCCCGGGACATGGAATTCCTCCGGGAACTTCCAAGAGCACGAATTGTGTGAACGTTGCATCCGGTAGCAAATCCGTCCCTCCAAAATGTGGCCCGGGAATGGAGTTCTGGGATGTCGAAGAGCACGAAGTGTGTGACTGTTGCATCTGGTTATTCTAAATGTGGCCCGGGAATGGCGTTCTGGGATCTCGAAGAGCACGAAGTGTGTGACTGTTGCATCCGGGTATTCAGAATGTGGCCTGGGAATGGAGTTCTGGAAGTCGAAGAGCACGAAGTGTGTGACTGTTGGTGAAAAACGAGCCCGGCACCCTGCCGCCCGGCAACTCCCCAACACCTGCCCGGACCCCCCTGTGGAGTGATTTTTGAGCTCTTTTGAGTCAACTAGAAACCTATCAGTCCTAAAAACACCACCAAAAAAAAAAAATAAATCCCGGCAAAGCAACCTAACATCGATGTGTAGGAGCATATCTGGAAGCATTCCCCTTAAGATTCGGATGAGTATCCAGTTGTAGAATTCTGCTGTTCTCGCAGTCGTAGTCGCATTCGCGATGACAGTCGCAGTGGCAACGGCAGTCGCAGTCACAGCCTCAGCCTCAGCCTGCCTCAGCCTCAGCCTCAGCCTGCCTCAGCCTCAGCCTGCCTCAGCCTCAGCCTGCCTCACAAAAAACCATCAGCCCTCACCTGCTTAAGCCTCAGCATCAGTCTGCTTCAGGCTCTCGGCCTCAGCCTCAGCCTGCTCAGCTCATCCTGCATCAGGCCTCAGCCTCACCCCAGCCAGCCTCCGCATCAGCCTGCCTCCAGGCCTCAGCCTCAGCCTCAGCCCTGCCTCTGCACTCAAGCCTCAATGCTGCTTCAAAA